CATCCCAGAAGTCCCCTGGTGATTTTGGAGGTGAGAAACTACCATACTACCTTATAATGTGGCTGAACCATTTTATAATCCTACTAGCAACGAGTCAGAGTTTGTGCTCCACATCCTCAACAGTACTTGGTATCGTTAATATTTTGGATATTTGTCATTTAAGTCAATATGTAGGCCAGCACCGCGGCTCCCTATGCTAATCCTCCGCCTGGGGCACTGGCACACCGGGTTCTTGTCCCGGTTGCTCCTTTTCCAGTCCAGCTCTCCACTGTAGCCCGGGAGTAGAGTAGAGAATGGCCCAAATGCTTGGGTCCTGCATCCCATGGGAGACCAGGAGAAGCACCTGGTAACTGGCTTTATATCAGCACGATGCGCTGGCCACAGCAGCGATTGGAGGGTGAACCAACAGGAAAAAGGAAGACCTTTCTCTCTGTCTCTCTCATTGTGCATTGTGCCTGTCGAAAAAAAGAAAAAAATCCAAATGTAGTGATACCTCACTGTGGTCTAATTTTTAAAACACACAATTTTTTTTTTTTTTTTTTTTTGGCAAGCAGAGTTAGATAGTGAGAGAGGGACAGAGAGAAAGGTCTTCCTTCCATTGGTTCACTCCACTAATGGCCACTATGGCCAGCATGCTGTGCTAATCCAATACCAAGAGCCAGGTGCTTCCTCCTGGTCTCCCATGGGGTGCAGGGCCCAAGCACTTGGGCCATCCTCCACTGCCTTCCCGGGCCACAGCAGTGAGCTGGACTGGATGAGGAGCAACTGGGACAGAGTCCAACCAATTCCAGGTCAATATGACATCAGTTGCTGGGGAAATCCGTCATCTACCTGGTGGCAGGTTGGTTACATGGACTACTCTTGTCAAGTAGGACCAACATTCTGTGTTTCCCGGAACAGACGCCCATGCATACTCTGCCTACATTCAGTGCTTCTGCCAACTATCCAGCTTGGACTTACAGGACGGCTGGCCTACCATTGTGGTTCCTCTCTCTCTCTGTAACACTGAATTTCAAGTAAATAAAAAGAGATACTGTTTAAAATAGAAAGGATTACTATAATGTAATGAAGAATTTTTCATTATGATAAATACATGTGTGTGTATAACACACAACTATATACTTGATTCCTAATTGCCTCATTGTATAACCTAAGATGTTTGATTTTACAGCTATGTTTAAATTATTGCTAATTTCATATTATAATATTTAATTGTGCCATAGTGGAAGAAGAGCCAATGCCATGCAAGGGCTTTTCTCTCTTCTGGGGAATGGTTCATGCATTTTGGTTTTATGCAGGGTAGTTGTACTGTGTTAAGTAGAAGTATGACTGTGCTACTGTCTTTATTGGAGATCAGCGTGTTTTAATCCAGAGGTGAATACGGGTGACAAATTGATAGGGGTAGACTTGTGCCAGTAAATGTTTAAGGGTCAACTTGCCTCAACCAAGGGATCCCCAGATACCAGGTAAAACATTGTTTCTGGAAGGCATAGCATTTGAATCGGTAGACTGAGTGAAGATTGCTCACACCAGGTGGGTGATTTTGAAATGATGTGCAGTCCATGGGAGAAAGTGTTTATTACAAATGCCCACAATGAAGCGTTTATGACATCACTGCTTTTGACAATGACAGAATCTGAAAATATCATTCACCATGTGTCATAAAAGAAAATGACACTTTTAGTCAAACTAAATCAATCCTGAATGAGAAATATTAAGTGAAATAAAATTGAAAATGCTTTCTGTAGTCCTGTCTTTTTTAAACAGGGAGTTATTTGGGGCCCGTGCTGGGTGCAGCTGGTTAATGTCCTGGCCTGAAGCACCGGCATCCCATATGGGCGCTGGTTTGAGACCTGGCTCCTCCACTTCTGATCCAGCTCTCTGCTGTGGCCTGGGAAAGCAGTAGAAGATGGCCCAAGTCTTTGTGCCCCTGCACCCACATATGAGACCTGGAAGAAGTTCCTGGCTCCTGGCTTCGGATTAGCGCTGCTCAGGCTATTGTGGCCAATTGGAGAGGGAACCAGTAGATGGAAGACCTCTCTCTCTCTCTGCATCTCCTCTGTGTAACTCTGACTTTGAAATAAATAAACCATTTAAAAAAGGGAATTATTGGCCAGTGGCGCTAATCACTAGGCTAATTCTCCTCCTGTGGTGCCGGTACCCCGGATTCTCATCCCAGTTGGGGCTCTGGATTCTGTCCCGGTTGTTCCTCTTCCAGTCCAGCTCTCTGCTGTGGCCCGGGAAGGCAGTGGAGGATAAGCTGCATGGGAGACTGGGAGGAAGCACCTGGCTCCTGGCTTCAGATCAGTGCAGTGCGCCAGCCTTGGCGGCCATTTTAGGGGTGAACCAACAAAAGGAAGACCTGTCTCTCTGTCTCTCTCTCTCTCACTGACTAACTCTGCCTGTCAGGAAAAAAAAATTTAAAAATCCTGAAGGTTTTAGGAGTGGGTGGAGGAGGGGGAGCATGGTGCATAGTCAGTTAAGCTGCTCCCTGGAATGCCGACATCCCCAGTGGGTACCTGTTCCAGAGCAGGATGCTCCCCGCTGATCCAGCTCCCTCCTGATGGCCCGAGAGAAGCAGAGAAAGATGGCCCACCTTCTGGGGGCCCTGCATCCCAAGTGGGAGACCTCGATGAAGCTCCGCACTCCTGACTTTAGCCTGTCCTAGCCTGGGTCACTGAACCTTCTGGGAAATGAACTAGCTGATGAAATACCTTTCTCTCTCTCAAACTATTCTTGGATACCTACTGATGAGTTAGGAAATAGATACAAATTAAATTTCAATTATGTACTCTGGTTTCAAGTGTTTATTTTCTATTATGATTGAAATAAACATAATGTGACAATCGCAAAAGAGTGGGTTGGTGGAGAGTGTTTCTTGGACAGCATGTTGAAAAAAATCTGAAGTATCAGGTCTCTGTAAGTGATACGTGAAATACATCTACTCATGTCTCCATGCAGTGCACGTTTAAAGATTGAAAAACAGAAAAGCACAGGTCTCTACAGCAGCATTCACATAGAGTTCATTCATTTAAATAAACCCCAAGAGGTGCAGGTGTCTGGGGCATGGGTTAAGACCCCACTTAGGATGCAGAAAAGCCCTGCAGGTACCTGGGTTCTAGTCCTGTCACCACAAGGCATTCGATTTCACATTCCTAGTCATGGCACACTGAGAGCGACCAGGTGAGCACCCAAGGCCTTGGGCCCCTGACACCCAGCATGGGAGACCCAGAAGCAGTTCCAGATTCTGGAATGGTCACCTGAGCCTGCTGGCTTCTTGGGGAGGAAAGAGCACGTGCAAAGGCCAAGAGGTGGCCGAGGATCTGTGTCTACCAAGGCCGTCCAATGTGTGCAGAGGGAAAGGCGGGCAGGGGGCAGGTGAGCAAAGGTCCCCAGTGTGAGAGGAGGAGCTGAGTCCTGCCCTGAAGGGGACAGAGCCAGACACGGGTTTGAAGGACAGCAACACTGGGGTCCACACTTTGGGCTGCTGGGCATAAAGAAAATCCACACCCGGGAGCAGACGGGGCAACAGCATGCCAGCCCGTCCCTGCTGCTTCTTGTTCCCCAGCCCTGCCCTCACGTGAAGGACAATCTCACCTGAGTGGGGAGGAAATAGGACCCCCCACAGGCCGTGACCACCGTGGGTTGCCGCCAATGCTCGGTCAGTCAGGAAACTCCGCAGCAAGGTCGGGAGAAGCAAGGCTACGAAGGACCCCGCTCAGCCCCATCTGTGACACCCAACAGGGCCTGCTTCTAGTGACTTGCCCTTGTGTTGTGGACTTGTGGCAGGTGCACACACACCAGCAGTACCTGTGTTCCCATTGCACCTCTGACAACAGTAGGCAGGTCACATAGGTGCGGGGAGCACACACAGAGTGTCTGCATGTCAGCCCTGAACAGGACTCACTGTGCTATCCCGTCAGGATCTCCATGAACCATCTGTCAGTCCTGGGGGTGACCTTGAGATGTCTCTGAAGTCACTTTTCCCTGTCCCTTCCCAGAGGCCCTCCTAGAATGGCCTGACCACCCACTCAAGCTGAAGCACTCACAGCCCCGACTCTGTCCCAGGAGGAGGCAGAACAGCAAAAGGGCTGTGATCCATCTTGGTGGAGCCTCCATGTTGCCTCCTATTTGAAAGAAATGATCATTCCCTAGAACTAGCTCCCAACCCCAGGAAACATGGAGCTCAGAAAATTATCCTGGGTGTGGAGGGCTCCGTGTCCACAGCTGCCCAGGTGAAGAAGGAGGGGCCCATTCCTCTGCAGGCAGCCCCCAGTTCAACGTGCACCCCTGCCTCTTTGCACAGGCAGCTTTGGAAGGCCAGGCTGGGGCCAGATGACCCAGTGTCCGGGACACTTGCAGAGAAACTGCTGCTACATGGCCGCCTCTGTCCAATGCTGAACCCAGGCCACAGCTGGAATTCCTGCACAGCTCCCACCGGTAGCTGTCTGAGTCCACACCTGGCCAATCCCACACACTGTGATGTCAGAGTGCTTGGCCTTCGGGGCGGGTCTTGTTCTCCATGGGTAATGCAGGTGGACACTGGGTATGGACACTCTCAGCTCTGCTTCCATGAACCTCACTAGTGACAGGACCTCCCTGCTGTGTCACAGATGCAGGGACCCTCCTTCCTGTGTAGCTGCAACTGTGCATGTTTGAGCCTCTCACTCTCCCTTAACTCCCTCCCCCTCCACAGCCTCACCATGCTCCCCTCCCTCACCTCCACCCCCCTAAACTACCACACACCAGACCCTCCCACCTTCCCCACAACCCACCACCAATCCCCCACCAACCTCTACCCCGCATCAACCTCCCCCCACCCCCAGCCAGCTTCTGGGAGCCATCGCTCTCTTCTCAGGTCCAGGAGGTCAGCCATTGTGGCAGCCCCAGAGCGACAGAGGGGACTGTACTTGTCCATGTGAGCTCCATCTGGTAGCCAACTCCATGCAACCAGGGCACGGTGCACACCAGGACCCAAACACCACACAGGACCAGTTCCATGCGTACAGTGAAGACTTTTATTGGGGAGAAGCACAGCAAAGTCTCAAGCAAATGCGAGCCCTGAGGCAGGTCAGCTTGTCACTGAGGCAGGCTAGCTGGGGGCCACCTTTCGGCTGCGGGGGCCAGGGCCGCGGGCTGGGGCCGGCAGGCAGCAGGCACGCAGGAGGAATCCGAGGATGCTCCTGCCAATCCTCCTGCCCAGCCCCTGCCGGCCCTTGCTCGGGACAGAGGCCGATGCTGAGGGCCCAGCCTCCTCAGGCTCAGCTGCTGGGAGGTCTGGCACCACCAGGTGCGGACTGCTCCCGGGACTGGGGCTGGAGGGGGCGGCCACGGGGACGGGCTCGGGGGCTGGGCTGGCACCAGGGCTCCTCTCCTGCAGCTGTCCAGGGAGGGGAGAGGCAACCACGGGGCCAGCAGCAGCAGGATCCAGCTCAGGCTGGGGGAGCGACTCCGACTCCGACTCCGACTCCGACTCCGACTCCAGCTGCGACGCAGACTCAGGCTCCGACTCGGACTCCAGCTCTGCCTCGCACTCCGACTCAGGCTCCCTTTGTCCCTGTGAGAGAGAGGAAGGCAGGTGAGAAGGACAGGTGCACCCTGGACCTCCCTCATGCCCCGAAACCCAGGGAGACCATGGACAGACCCGCGCTCTGCCACCGGGGCTCTACCTGCTCCAGGCTCCCGGAGTGCGGCTGCAGGGACATCCGGCTGGATCCCCAGGGCCA